CTACATAGACAATTATATTTTCTATGAATAAAGACTGTTTTACTTCTTCCTTTACAAACTGTAACACTTTTATTTCTTTTTCTTATTATACTGGCTAGAACCTCTAATACAATGTTTAATCAAATTTGTGTAAGTGTCCATTTTCCCCTTGTTTGTCATCTCGGAGGGAAAGCATTTAGTCTTTATGCACACATTATTATATATATTTTTCATAGATGCATTTTATTAGGTTGATGTATTTTATTTATACCTGGTCACTGAGCATTTTAATTAGTAATGGATTTTGGAATTTTGGCAAATGTTTTTTCACTCTCCATTGAGATGATCATATGGTTAGGGTTTTTTTTTTTTTTACTATGTTAATGTGGTGAATCACAATTTTTTCCAAATATTAACACTACCTTGACTCCCTGGAATAAAAATTACTTGGTCATGGTGTATTGCATTTTTTATATATCATTGGATTTGACTTTACTAAAGTTTTGTTAAGAATTTTCGCATATATGTTCATGAGGGAGATTGGATTATAGTTATCTTTCCTTGTAATATAATTATCTGGTTTAGTTAACTGGATAATTCTAGCCTCATAGGGTGAGTTGGGAAGTATTTCTTCCTCTTCAAATTTCTGGAAGATTTTGAGTAGAATTGGTGTTATATCATCCTTAAATGTTTGGTAGAATTACCAGTAAAACCATCTTAACCTGGAGTGTTTTTTTATTTCAAAATATTAAGGGGGGTACAAATGTTTTTGTTATGTGGATAGCTTTTATAATGCTTTAGTCAGGGCTATAAGTGTGTCCATCACCCAAATAGTGTTCACCGTATCTTTTAGGTAGTTAATCTAGAAGCTTCCTTGGGAGGAAGGATTTTAAATAAAACTCCCATTTATTTAATTGTTGTAGGGCCTTATTTTATTCTAATATATGTATTTGTGCTATAAATTTCCCCCATATACTTCTTTTGCCACATCCTGCAAATTATCATATGTTGATTTTTCATTTTTGCTCAATTCAAAGTACCTTTTAATTTCCCTTTTGATTTCTTCCTTGGGTCATGAGTTGCTTAGACCACGTATTATCTGGTGTTAATTTAAATATTTAAGGATTTTCCAGAGATCTTTCCGTTAGTTTCTTATTTAATTCCATTGTGCTCAGAGAATATAGATTTTGTGATTTGAATTCTGTTAACATTATTGAGACTTATTTTATGGCCCTGAATATAGACTACCTTGGTAAATGTTCCACATGCATGTGGATCAAATGTATATGCTACTGTTGTTGGTGGGAAATTCTATGCTCTGTTCAAGTATTATATGTACTTGCTGATTTTCCATCTGTTTATTCTATCAATTTTTTTAGAGAAGGTGTTGACATCTTTGACTATAATTGTGGATTTGTCTATTTCTCCCTGATGTTCTATGAGTTTTTGCTTCATGTATTTTGATGCACTGTAGTCCATGGATGTTTAGGATTATTATAGCCTCTTGACAAATTCACCACTTGTATAATGACCTCCCATTATCCATGGTATTATTCTTTGCTCTGAAATTTACTGTGTCTTATATCAATATAGCCATTCAAGCTTTGTTTTGATGTGTTAAAATTATCCATCCTTTTCCATCCCTTTTCTTGAAAACAATTTGTATCTTTAAATTTAAAATAGAGTTCTTATAGGCAGCATATATTTGTTTCTTTTCTATCCAATCTGACCATCTCTATTTTATAATTGAGGTGTTTAGACCATTTATGTTCATGTGCTTATTGGTATGTTTGGGTTTAAATCAATCACTTTGTTATTTATTCTCTCTTTTCTTTAACTTTTTTTGGATTGAGTAACTTGAGGATTTCATTTTATCTCCTATGTTGGCTTTTTAGCTGTAACTTTTTTAGTGGTTGTATTAAGGTTTATAGTATACATCGTTAATGTATCAGAATCTACTTTTAAGTGGTATTAATGTATAGCATAAGAACCTTAAAATTATGTTCTTCCACTTTCCCTCTTCTAGCCTTTATGCTATTATTAACATACATTGATATTTCATGTATGTTATAAATCCTAATATGCGGTAGGTTGGAGACAATCATAAGGCTCATGTTATTTATTTCTCCTCTCTCAAATAACTTTGCTGTCTGATGTTCAGTGACCGAAAATCATTGTTTCATATATTTTATCCATGTTTTAGTTGTTTCAATCAGGGAGGTAAATCCAGTCCCTGTTACTTAATTTTTATTGGAAGCACAAATGTGGCTTAACGTTTTAAATCATGAAGGCCTTATTTCATTTTTAATCAGAGTGCACTTCCTATGCTATCTGGAATTCCTGGAAGAGTCCAGTGTCTGTGTCCCTGCTCCTGACCAGAAAATTCAAACTGCAGCACTTTTTTGGGTCACGCAATGGCCCTTAAGTTTATTTTCTGAATTTCCTTGAATAGATTTGAATTTTTTAAGAAAAAAATCAGTACCTGTTTTATTAGAAAGTTATGAGATATTATCTGTATTATAATCTCAATTTGTTAGACATACATAAGGATCCAAAAATGTATACTTGTTACCATTGGCTAAATACCACTAAGTCCATATTTCTCTTATTCAGTTTTTCATTCATTCATTCAACAAGTATTTACCGGATGTACATGATGTGTTAAACTCCAATGGTCTAATCCATATCTACATCTCAAACCTTCTTTCTGAACATCCTTGTTTTTTTAAGAACCAAAGCAAACACCCTAATCTCACTGCCTGCTCTTTGTCAGAATTTTTAGGCTTTCATGTGAAGAATTTGTCTTATTTCTTTTGTGGAGAATGTCCACACTGAAGCAGAAAAGGATGCTTACCACATAACAGAAAGAAATGATATATAGGCAAATGCGTCCAGAACCTTAGATATGGCTGCTCCCCTCAAGGGAATCTTATGCCTTGTTCTCTATTGCCTTTTGCTCATTTTACAAGGAGTCTGACCACTCTACATGCTACTCCTTCAGATGCCCCTTCAGACACAACCACTCTGTTAAGAGCCAAGAAAAACTGGTTAGCAGAGGACTCTCTCCATAGACTAGAATCCTAAACCCAACTTTCTCTGAGAAACTGACAGGACAACTTGGATCTGCCTGGATGTAGAAGAGATACATATTTTTCTGGGCATATGTCTGTCTAACCTTCTATGGTGGATATGCTGTCAATTCACGTGTGAGCTTCATTTCTCCTTATGAAGGAACTGCTGAATACACGTAGGTCAATACAGGCAGAACACTTTTTTGCCCCCTGAAGCTTGTGCGAACATTGGCAACCAGGAGTAAAATGTCTGGCAGGGTATAAGCCTCGCTGTTCATCCATTCTCCTGTCCCTTCTACTCCAGCCTTTCTCTGTGTAAACTTCTGTCTTGCATGAATGTGCCCTGTGTCTCAAGTGCTTCCAAGAGGAAGAGGGGCTTCGGAATTACTTAGGCATCTGATTCAAGATGTCTGGAGTTTGTGATGCTACATGACCTTTTTACCTGCCTATCCACGTTTCCCCTTTGGTTTCGTAAGTGCTATTGCAATGTTAAATTCTAGAGCACAGGGTGGCAAACTTTTCCTGTTAGGACAAGATAAAAAACATTTAGTCTTTGCAAGCAAGTCATACTGTCTCTTTCACAGCTACTCAACTCTATCCTTGCAGTGCAAAAACAGCCATAGGCAATATTTAAATGAGTAAACATGCCTATGTTCCAATAAAGCTTTATTTATGGACACCAAAATTTGAATTTCATATATTTTTGCATCATAAAATATTCTTAATTTTTCAACCATTAAAAAATATGAAAATTATTCTTAGTTGTAAGCCAAAAAAATAGGCAGCGGGACAGATTTGGCCCATGGGCTATTTGCCAACCCCTGTTCTAGAATCATAACTTTTAAGTTTACTTCCACAAGACTGTCTTCATACACAAAATGTGTGTATTTCATCTGTTTAGCAGAAACTGAGGGGGGCTTTTTTCCCTAGTTCTATTGGGACACTTAACCCCAATAGTCCTCCCATGGATTTCTCATAAAGATCCTCACATTTTGGATATCCACTGATTCACTGACATGATCTCCTGGTATCCAATTCAATATAGGGTAACAAAATTCTATACATTCATAGGTTTCAGGTGATGTGGGCTGGTATGAGGTGGGACGGTCTCAAAGTGAGCTGTGTTCTCTCACACATCTTGTATAGTCTGAACTGGGACATCTTATGTACTCTGAACTTAAGTTCCTGGAAGAGAACTACCCCTAAGGAAAGAACTAGACAGACAAGGTCTTTCCATGAAGCTAAACAGGGAGAGGGGATTTTTCCACACCTTTGGAGGACAAGGATTCATCCACTGGAAGTCCCAGAGAAATCAGTAGGACCTTCTTACCTTGAGGATTCCTGACCATCTACAGTGGTGGGGGCCAGTGTAGGGAGCAAGATCTAGCACATAGAGCAATGCCCAGGGGAGAGGATGGGAATGGGGCACAGCAACAGAGGAATGGAAGAACCTACCTACTATTTAGCCCACTAGACTTTTGAGTATAGGGAAGACCTTGCCTTAGAAACTTGCTCTAATAACTGAGGGGAATATCGAGTTGGATCATACATGTCAATGGGAACAAGAACTTGCAGGAAGCTCACAAACTCATTACCTCATCAGGTCCACAAAGCTGCCCTGAAAGGTGATTATTATCTTCACTTTACTGATAAATATAATTATCTTTAAAGAGATATGTCTCTTCTCATTATCTTATATTTCTAAATAAGAGATCCCAGGGGTAAGGTAAAATTGAGATTCTATCACAAGTGTTTATTAAGTGTTCACATTTCTCTTATAAGGTGGTCATATATAAGTAATGTGCTCTGTTGTGAAAAATAAGATATAGATAAGCAGAAAGAAAATAAAAATCCCTCACAATTCTACCACAAAGAGATAAACACTATTTACTTTATATGAATGACTATTTATGTTCATATAAGAAGTGAAGTGAAAAAGAATACAGAGAATGCTTTTTTAAACTGCTTTATTAACTTCACAATATATAATGGGTATCTTTCCATGCAATAGGTAAAACTCCCCTGCTGACAGAAACTTACAAACTGGATCAAAAACACAACATTCAATTAGAAGCTGGTAATAGGAGACCCACATGAAACGAGTAACATCAAAAGGTTTACAACAAAGGTACATCACAAATATGCAAGTTTAGGAAGCAGGGGTCTCCCTATTAACTTCAGGGAAAACATCGGATTCAGGGCATAAGGCAAAACTCATCATGGTGGTCATGGTGAGGGGGGTCAGTGCTAACTGCCCGCAGACTATGACTCAGCTGCTTTTCCCTCAGCTTTTCCATCAGCTGTCTCATCTCCTCCCCGATCCTCTCCATGTTCTCTTCCCTCATCCTTGCCTGTGGCTCTCCAAGCCTATGCATTACCTCCCATCTATACTGCAGGATGGGCTGCCTAACACGGAATCGCCTACGATTTCCTCTAGGGACACAGTATTCACCAGCTCCCAGAGGGAGGGCCAAGGGCTTCCCTTTATTAGCATCTTGCTCCTTTTCATCCTTTTCTTCGTTTTCTGGGTTGGCACTTTCCATGTTGAGCTTTTTCACCACTTGTTCCTCTTTGGACTCCATTACTCCTAGGAGATGAGAGAAAGAAAAGGTGGACCGATCAGCACCGAGGACAGAGGCCCTACTACGCACCTTTCAAAATTCAGAGCCCTGGATTTCAAAGGCCTTTTCAGAATTTCCTTTTTCCCACCTGAGAGGCCCGGTGCGCCCTCTAGGGGGCCCCCAGCCGAGCCCCTCCCTCCCGCAAAGCCCACCATTTTCCCTGCAGATCCATGTCCAGGCCTCTGCAGGCCCCAAAATGGAGGACGAGGATGGCGAGGGTGGGGCGAGGCGGAGGTGTGTGTAGGGGGAGAAGAAGGTTGGGGTCTCACGCTGGGCTTTCCGCACATTCCTACCCCGTCGCCCACCACAGTCCCCGGCACCGACCTGGGCCTATCCTCGCAGTGTCCTGCTCCTCCCGATTCTCGCCGCGAGGTGCGCCGCCGCGACACTTAGCCCCGCAGACCTGCAGACGGCCGGGGTGGGGGGCGCGGGGGCTGCTGCAGCCGGGCGCTCCCGACCCCTTCCCCGCCCGGACCCTCGTCGCCGCCCTCGCCCCGCGTCTCCCGCCCCCCCAGCCGCCCCGCCCCCCGCGCTGCCCACCATTTTCTGCGCCAAGAAGGACGGGGGCGGGGCCGGGCGGGGTGTAGGAAAAGCTGGCGTCGCTGGTGGAGGCAGGTGTTTCCAAAGGGTCGAAGCCTCGGGGCCACCTGCTCCCGCGGGACCATGCACCCCTCGGCACGCCAAAGGCCTGCCATCTTCTGTAGGCCCGCGTGGGGGGTTAGGGACTGTAGTCGCCAACCTGCGGCGTCTCCGCCGCGGGGCGGCCAGACCCCCGAGGGTTGGGGTCCGCAGGCCGGGGCGGCTCTCCCACGCCAACCCCAGGCACCACCTCCGGGTCCCTTACCTGCTCCCCCGCCGCCTCCTGCTCGGGCCGCCCCTGGCCCGCACACCCTCAGGGCCACCGGGAGCAGGTATAGCCGCTGAGAAGGGAGAGAGCGACAGTGGGTCCGATACCAGAGTGAGGACCGAGTCGGCGCTGGCCGGTCACGTGAGGCTGCTGTCGCCGCCAGCGGCCCCGCCCCCGGCCCTTGGCCCCTCCTGCCACCCGGAGTCAGGCGGGGTTTGTTGGCCAGGTCTGTCCCGCATCCTCACCCCAAGTCCCTTTTAACATCTCTGGGCCGGGCCCTGTCACTCTCCCTTCTTTGTGTGTTAGTGGCCCTTTCTCTGCATGCCGGGTAAAGGCAGTATCTTCTGGGGTGGGGGGTTTTGGCCATTTCCCCTTCTCTGGGGACTTGCCTCTCCCTCTCCTCTGCTCCCAGAATGCACCTCCTTCTGCCTGCTGTCCTCTCTGCTACCAATACTATTTTCCCTCCACTAAAATGCATAGAAGAGGTGTGTTAGGAAGAGTCCCAAGGAGTGGATTTTTCTCATTCTTAATACCTTTCTGTTTTATTTTTTATATTAAACAAAAATCAATATACTTCTTTAAAACGGAAAAAATAGTTTTATTTGAAAAATAGGATTAAAGTTGGGGGAAAAATCCCAACCACCTGTCTGTTCTGCTAAGTCATTATATAAATATAGACTCTACAGGCAACTCCTTTTTTAGAACTTGGAAGAGGACAGGGCAGCTGATGGCTCCCCTTATAAAGGGCCCCTAGACACATGAGGCCCTTTCATGAAGTGAGCCAATGAGTATGTAGTACAACAGAGCCTTGTTGGATTTTCAGAACTAAAAATACAAAAAAAGAAATAAAACCTACTTCACAAATTTCTGATTCAAATGGTAATAAGTATGTCTTTATTTGCAGATCAAATAATTATGTATTCAGAAAACCCAAAGAAATCTACAATAAATTTACTATAGGAGTAAAAATTGAATTTAGAAAGATTGCAGTTACAAGATAACTATACAAAACTCAATTGTATCCCTATATGCTACTAATAAACAATTGAAAATTGAAATGTAAAAATGCATCGCTTATGGTAGCTTCCAAAAACGTGAAATACTTAGGAATAAATTTCAAAAGCATGAAGAAAACCTGTACACAATTGGAAAACACTGCTGAAAGAAACTAAAGACTGAAATATATGAAAATATATACCATGGCTCTGGAGCAGGAGATTCAATACCGTTAAGATATCACATCTCTTCAAATTGGTCTATAAATTCATTGCAATCAAAATCAAAACCCCAGCAAGCATCTTTGTATAAATTAATAAACTTACTCCCTAATTTATATGGAAATGCAAAGGACCTGGGATAGACAAAATAATTTTGAAAAAAAAAACCCCACTGATCTAGAAGATTATGTTATATGATTTCAAGACTTAAGATGGAGTATTAATAATAAAGGTAGTGTAGTAGTGGAGTAAATATACAGATCAATGGAACAGAATAGAGAGTCCAGAAATAGATCCATACATACATTACTAATTCATCTTTGACAAAGATGTCAAGGTAATTGAATGGGGAAAGTATAGTCTTTTTAACACATGGTGCTGAAACAACTGGAAATTCTTATAGAAAAAAAGGAATCTTGCCTTTTACTTTATATTATATATTAATTCAAAAGGGATCATAAGCCTAAGTATAAAAGCCCAAATTATAAAACTTCTAGAATAAAACATAGAGAAAAACTTTACAATCTTTGGGAAGATAAAGATTTGTTAGATAGGACACAAAAAGAACACATCACAAAAGATAAAAATGAGAAATTGGATTTATCAAAATTAAAAACTTCTACCCTTTAAAAGACATGGTTAAGAAAATGAAGTGGGAAGAAGCTGGAAGAAAATATTAACAATGTGTCTATCTGACAATGAGTTTGAATTCAGAACATATATAAAGAACTCTGAAAACTCAACATAACAGGCAAATGATCAAAATATTTGATTGAACATTTCACAAAAGTACATGTACGAATTACCAATGAGCTAATGAAAAGATGTTCAACCTCATTAATCATCAAGGAAATATAAAATAAAGCCAGGATGAAATACCACTGCACACCTATTAGAATTGCTAAAGTTAAAAAGTCTGAATTCTGAAGTCAGACTTCCCAAGTACTTCTGAAGATATTCAACAACTAAAACTCTCATTTATTGCTGGTGAGAAGTTCAACCACTCTGAGAGACTTTTTGGCAGTTTTTTGAAAAGTTAAACTTATACTTACCATATATCCCAGAAATGCCACTCTTAGGAATTTTCCCAGCAGAATTAAAAACATATTTCCTCAAAAATATTTGTACAAGAATGTTTATGACAATTTCATGTATGGTAGTTCCAAAGTGGATAAAATCCAAATGTCCATCAGCAAGTGAATGGATAAACAAATTGTGCTGTATTCCTTTGAACACTGCTAAGCATAAAAAAGGAATAAACTACTGATAGAAGCAATAACATAGATCAATCTCAAAAAAATTATAAAAAATGCTTAGGGAAAGATATCAGCCACAAAAGAGTGTGCTCTGTATAACTGCATTTATATAAATTGTAGAACAGGAAAAACTAATCTATGCTGATAAGAGTTGGATCAAATCAATGTTTGCCTTGAAGGTTAGAGGTTTTTCTGACTACAAAGGGGAATAATGGAACTTTCTCAGCTAAGGGAAATGTTGTGTATCTTGATGGGGTAGTGACTTCATTGGTGAATATATTTGTTGAAATCATTGAACTATACAGTTAAAAGATGTGTATCTTATTTTATGTAAATTATAGCCCAATAAAGTTGATAGAAATCAAATATCTGTGAATAAATCTAATTAAATACTTATAAGACCTGTACATTGAAAATTATAATATAGTTTTAAGAAACACTAAAGAAGAACTAAATAAGTGTAGGGATATATCATGATCATGGATTAAATACTCAATATTTTAAAGATGTCAGTTATACCAAAGTTCATCTATAAATTCAGTGCAATCCATGAAAAAATATCAGCAGGTCATCTTTTGTTGATGAACAGATTTCAAATATGTATATGAGAATACAAAGAGCCAAATATAGTCAAGAATACTTTGAAGATGAAGAAAGCTCCAAGACTTCCACTACTAGATATCAAAACTTTATATAATACTATAATGAGTATAATACAGTATGATACTGTCTCAAAGATTAAAATGTGTATTTATCTATCTTTCTATCTATCCATCTTATATGGACCTGTCAAACATACCTACACATACAGTCACTTGATTTATGATAAAGATGACAGTTCAATGAAGTGGGAGGAAAGTATTAAAAAAGTGGTACCAGATAAGTTAGATATTCATATGGAGAAAAGATGTATGTTGACTCCACCATAAATAATACACACACACAAAAACCTCCAATGAATTACAAATCTAAATAGGAAAGGTAAAAAGGTAATTTTAATGTGAAAAACACAGGAGATCATCCTCATGACATTGGAGTAAGCAATTTTCTTAAAGAGGACACAAAAAGCAATAACCATGAAGGAAAAAGGTTGTAGATTGTACTTTATTAATATATTTTTTAAAAACTTCTGTTCATCATAACAGCATTAAAAGAATGAGAAAGTGGCCAGGTGCGGTGGCTCACGCCTGTAATCCTAGCACTCTGGGAGGCCGAGGTGGGTGGATCACTCAAGGTCAGGAGTTTGAGACCAGCCTGAGCAAGAGCGAGACCCCGTCTCTACTAAAAAATAGAAAGAAATGATCTGGACAACTAAAAAAAAAAAAAAAAAAAAATTAGCCGGGCATGGTGACACATGCCTGTAATCCCAGCTACTCAGGAGGCTGAGACAGGAGGATCGCTTGAGCCCAGGAGTTTGAGGTTGCTGTGAGCTAGGCTGACGCCACAGCACTCTAGCCCAGGCAACAGAGCAAGACTCTGTCTCAAAAAAAAAAAAAAAAAAAAAAAAAAAAAAAAAAAAAAAAAAAAAAAAAAGAATGAGAAAGTAAGCTACAAACTGGGAGAAGATATTTGCAACATATATATCTAACAAATAACTTATATCCAAAATGTATAAAGAACTCTTACAAATGAATAAGAAAAAGAAAGGCAATACAATAGAAAAATGAGCAAACATCTTAAAAATGGCACTTCACAAAACAGAATATCCAAATATCCAATAATTTGTGAAAAGATGCTTCATTGTTAACAGAAAAATGCAAATTATAGCCAAAATGTGATGTCACTAAACACCTGCCAGACAAAAACACCAGGTATTTTACAAGGATGTGGTACAGCTAGAACTGGTACTACTGTTTTGGAAAAGTGTTTGGCAGAATATGTTATAAGTAAGCATATGTGTACTCTATGGCCCAGCCATTTCCCTCTAAATATACCTGTAATAAAAATGCATGCATTGATTTACTAAACAGCATTTACACATATATCCATAATAGCACTTTTTAAATTGCTAACAATTAGCAAATACCCAAATGTTATTTATCAGGAAAATGTATAAATAAACTGTATATTTACACAATGGAATATTATTCAACAATAGAAATGTACAAATTACACCTACACTTAATATAGAGAGATCTCACAAACCTAATGTTGACATAAAGAAGCCAGAGAGAAAAAGAATATTTAATGTATAATTCCAGTTATATGAGTTTAAACATAGGAAAAACTAATATGTGATGTTAGAATTCAGGGTAGTGGCAGTCCTGAGTAATGACTAGAATGGGAATTCTGCAGTGTTTGTAATGTTCTGTTTTTTCTTTGTTATTGTTTTGTTTTAAGTGCTGGTTAAACGGTTTTACTTTGCGAAACTTCATGAGCTATGTACTTATGATTTGGGCACTTTTACATATATATTTTATACTTTATTTAAAAGTTCACTAAATGGCTCTCTGTGTGAAAGGAGTGTCTCTGGGACAAGATCCTAAGAGATTCTCCTTGAATCAATCCCAGATAGAGGACTAATCTCCTGGCAAAGCCTAGACTGTCTACAGCCCTGGAACCTGAGGAACGAAAAGGACTTCTGATAGTTACGGCAGAGGACTACTGGGAACAGGACTCCATCTCACAAAAGTACAGTCCTCATAGGAGGGAACTCCTCAGGCAGCACTTCAGGTAGCTCTGCTATCAGGATGCACCTGGACCCCCTG